CTTTCAAATTCCTTCGAAACTTTACTTTATTCGTAGACTCGAGGACGACCGAAGGAAGACTCTCGTTTCTCTGTGCGTTTTCCCATTCCTGACCGCGAGAAGTAATACGTTGTTTTATTTTCCTACAACGACGTTTCAATGCTTTTTGTTTTTCCTTCAATGCTTTATTATTAACATTCGAGTTAGTACTATTTGATGTTGGCGTCGATACATCACGTATTTGAGCTATGTTAAATCGTTGTAGTTCGTCTCTCGATGGTTCTCTACCATCGTGTGCGTTACGTACAGCTTCGAGATGATTTTTACCTTTCAAATGACTCAGGAGATATACCTCGTTCATTATCTGAGTATAAGTAATGAGACAACAAAGAATAGATAAATAAATAAATAAATAAATAAATAAAGAAAGAAAGAAAGAAAGAAAGAAAAAAAATTTAACTTTCTTCTCTATTTCTAAATATATATACATATTCTGTTAATTGAAAATTAAACATCGATAAAATGAACTTACGTGTGTACCACAAAGTGAACATTGCTTTTGAATAGGATAAGATTTGAGAGTAGGTGGAACTTCTTCCGATCTTAAAATAGACGACTCTACGGCTCTTTGACGAATATGTTCTATATTTTCAACGTGCCGCCTAGCTGATTCCTGTTGCTTATGCGCTATCTTTTTCTGTAATTCCTCTTGATTGGCCAACTGAGCCGCGTGAAGTGCCGACAATCTTTCTTCTCGATCTCTAGCTTTCTCTCTTGCAAGTTCCTAAATATTTAACATATAATTAGTTAGAGATGTACTCTGTGGGAAAAGAAAAAAGAAAGAAAGAAAAAAAAAGAAACAAAAAAAAAAAAAGAAAAAGAATCTGTTTGACAAGAAATATTTCTTATTTATTTACCTGACGTTCCTTCACTCTTTCAAGTTGCATTTTACCAACTCTCTCCTCTCGTTCACGCCTAGCCTGTTTCATCTTTTGTATACGCAATTGTCTCTCAGCCTCTAATGCTCTTCTACGTTCCTCAGCGGCAGCTTCTTTTGCAGCTTTCTCTTCCTGACGCCTTTGACGTTCTTCTTGTATACCCTTGTTAAATTACAAATAACGTTAACAATAATTTATTCTACGTTTGAAAATTTATCATTTATTATTAAACTTATATAAAAAAAAAAAAAAAAAAAAAAAAAAAAAAAACCTGCAATCGTTCCTCCTGTTCCTGACACAATGCCATAAAATCATGCCGTTTATTTTGTGCCTCGAGTTCATTGATAAAAGCAATTTCTTTTAATTTAGAATCCTCATCGTGAGCCTTCCTTACTATCTCCAATAAATGCTGCGTCCTATTCTCCTCCGCTCTCTTAAGTTTCATCTCCATTCTAATTCTCTTATCTTCTATCAATTGATTTTTCGCACTCTTTACATCCTCAACCTTATTCAACAATTCTCTCAATCTCTGTGACTTTTCCATCAATAATTTTTGACGTTTGTGCTGTGCACACGCCTGTTTCGCTTGATATCTACGTAATGTCTCAGGCAAGGAACGTTTTCTAGATGGTGATGATAATTTTTGATGTAGCTCGAGAGCTCGTCCAGGATGTCGTGCAACGAGTGCTTGCAATTGTGCGAGAACGTCGACTCTTTCTGCCCATGACATACCTTCTAACATATTTTCGTATCTGTGTAAAAGTAAAAAAAGAAAAAAAAAAAAAAATACAATGTCGATAATCAAATGTAAATAAACAATGTTATTGAAAAAAATATATATTTGTTTATAATCGTTCGTACCTGTCCTCTAAACTGATATCGTCAGATACAGGATCGATTACCACCGATTGTTCATCCTCTATCTCAAGAACCATTTCTCCGTCGGTTTCGTCGGTTTCAGTATCGATATCGATATCAGTAGATTCTAATTCTAAAATTTGCCTTTGCAAGGAAGCTTCCTCATCTGACAATTGTTGGGATCTTTGAGAATCCGCTTCTTCTGTCTTTCTTTCCTCTTCTAAAATAATTCGTTCTCTTTCGGCTTGAGCTGCCATAAATTGTTGTATACGTTTTTCAAGTAACTCCGCATCACTTTTAAAAATAGCTGCTATCATCGACGTAGAATTTGTGTCGTTTATTGACAATGGAATTTTCTTTATGTTATTATCCCAAGCATTTTTAACTTTATTACCATTTAATACGGATTCTCCTTTGACTTTTTCAACCTCGTTATTTATATTTTTCCCAGCCTTTCCTACCATACACTTTTTCTTCTGTTTATTACCATCGGGCGTAAAGCAATTCTTTTTATTTCGTTCAGTTGGACTTTCTATCGATAAAGCTGGCAAGGATGTGGCAGTACTTGGTTTATGAAAACGCGTAGAAATATTTAAATTGTGAGTACTACCTCTTCTATAACGACTTCGAACAGTTTGCCAGCCATCGCCTTCGTCTTTAGCTTTAACGCTAATCGTTTGTTTTGTTAATACTTCTACCGAACCGTTTATATCGTTATCTTGATTTTTCTTCAACAAAGTCTCATTGCCCTATTAAAGAAAACAAACAAAAAAATTTTTATGATTCATATATATATATATATATACATTTTATTAAAATAAAAAAAAAAAAAAAAAAAATACAAATATACAAATTATAAATACCTTCCTCTCCAATTGTTGAGGTCGACGTCTGATTATAACAGATGTTCCTGGTCTGGCTTTATTTGCAGATGATATGGTTCTATCGCTCAAAGTTGTTTTACTTCTGGTAAATTTGGGTGTTTCTGATAAATTTATTGTTTGTTCATTAGATCGTCTACGCGATGATACCGTTGAATAAGCTGCTTGACTCGTATTATGTATTTCTTTATTCGAATATTTTGTAATTAATTTATTATCTACTTTATCAGCATTTATACATTGTTTACTTGTTCTTTGCTTTATTTTATTCGATTCTATTGTATTTTTAGCATTTTTTGAGGCTACCGTCGTATCGATATTTTGTGTTTGCAATTTATTGTTAACTTGTATCATCTTATTATCAACATTTACATTTTCTATGATAATTTTACTTTCATTATTGTCTATATTCTGTTTAATTATTTCATTTTTTCTCAATTCTGTATTCTTTTTATTAGGTATTAATGTAATCTCCGATTTACTTCGATTACTAAGCTTACTATTTGTTTCATTTTCCTTAATCGTTTTATCCATAGATTCAACGTTTTGATAGATACTTGATTTCATATTTTTATTATTAATACAAGTTTGTTTGTCGATTGCTAAATTCGAATCTGATGTTTTTAAAGTACTTACATTCTGAGAAGAATTTTTATTTTGTTTTACAATGTTTCTAGTATCGGCCTTATTTTTAGAATCACATGAATCTTCGCTTGTTACTTTATTATCTATTAAACCATTTCCATTAGCTTTTGAATTCATTGGAGATTTTACAAAAGCTTTATTAATAGTTTTAGATCCTATACATCTGTCTTTGTTGGACGATTGATTCATACCTCTCTCTATCACATTCTTTCTTTTTTCTTTAATATTTGTCGAATTATTTTTAGAAACGTTATTCTTATTATCCTTTATTATTTTATGCAATGATTCCTCTTTTATATGATTTATTTTATTATCCGTAACCATAGGTTTTATCTCTGAAATAACTTGATCTATAGGACTTCTGCATGTGGATTCTGGTGGGCTTATCCTTTGTAAAGGACTAGTCGATTTTGGTACTATAGTTGAATTCCAAATACGACATGGCGAGGTCTTTCTTACTTCCCAAGCCAAAGGTGTACGCCTTAAAGGTGGTGGAGAATTTTCATAAGCCCATTTAACTTTAAACCATTCTATTAAATTATGGAAGTCTTTTGTATAATTTTCCAACACTAAAATTACTTCCTTGCATTCAGAAATATTTTCATCTTCTTCGCACGTTTGATATATACCGTCTACAGCTCTTTGTAAATTTCCAAATAGAAAAGCCCAATAGCGAGCTTGTAATTCTGAAAGAAAAAACAATGTTTACATTAACGACAAAAATTAAATAAATATAAACGACATACCAGACTTTTTGTCTCGACCAGTGGAAGCTGATCTAACTCTAGAGGCTGGTTTCATAGATCTCTTCATAGATCCAGATTGAACCACTCTTGGTACACTAGGCGGTTTCCTTGTTACTTTCTCTGTATTATTTGTACCAACTGGTACATTAAAAGCAATTAGATTTCTTGCTGCACGACCTTCTTCTTGTATAAGCAATCTGACATCAGCCATTTTTAATCTAATTTATCTACAAATAAATAAAACAAATATTAAGTGAAAATATAAAATAAATGATGAAAAAAATCTATGACAAATTTTTCTTTCAATAATCGAACAAATTAAATTATTAATATTCAACGCTTTTATAATCTAGAAAGTAAATTAAATAAAAATTTATTAGCAAATACGTTCCCAGCATTTTTTTTTTTTTTTTACGATGAAAAAAGTCAATCGTCAATCAATGAGGTTACCTCATGTAAATATACCTCAAGTAATCCCAATGTATTATCGTGATAAACAAATGTGATGTTTTATCATTTAAACAAATATGCTTACGAAGAATTAAAAGAAAAAAATTTCTTAAAACATCATTAAAGATTTAAATCACAAAAACGAAAATTTTTTGTTCCACAAAACCTTCCACTTGTCAATGTCGAAACTGATGATATTTACACAAGAATATATAGTGACCCACCTGCGTAGTAAACAAAAGTGTACTCTTTTTAATGACATCGGATTTAAAGTACTCTTTTGCAAGGATAGAACATGAACGTCATTCTAACAATGCTCTGCAACATTATTCTATGTATCACGTCACATATTCAAACAAACAATCGCCATAATAAACTTCATGGCTGTTTTTGCGTCTACCACTAACTATGATGTCTTTATTGTCCCTCGGACAAACTCTATCCGTTCGCATCAAAACGTAACGCCATCTGTTCTTGATACTACAACAGAAAAATAAATAATGATAAAAAAAAAAAAAAATAAATAGATAATAAAATAAAATAAAATAAAAAAGAACAGAAAAATATCGAGAAGTAAAAAATTATATATATATATATACATGTTCATTTAAAAATCAAACTTACTTTTTTTTAATTACATTAATTTAATTAAATAACATTATAATCTACATGAAATGTAAAACACTTATGTTTCGTGTAGTAAAACGAATAAATTAACTTCTCTCTGTTACGAGATATAAAATATCAGACATATTTTGCTTCGTTTTTCTTTTTTTTTTTTTTTTTCTTTTTTTTTTTTATCCCAATGATAATAAGTAAATTTGAAATTGTAATTAGAGTCAATCGCGTAAAATTGTTTGTATTGCGCATTGAAAAGTTTCCTATATGTCGCGCTACTCATACGGAATATTTTCTTAAAACGATAACGCGCGTCGCGTGGAAAGGAAGAAAGAGAAAGAGTAAAAAAGAGTAAGTGAAGTGATTGAGTAAACGCGCGCTTGAGAGAGAACGAATGAGAAAGAGAATAAGATGAATATACATGTACATATACAGAGTAGTTCCTTAATTGAGGCTGTAGATGGCGCGACGATATCTGACGCTAGTGGCGCCTCTATCGAGAAAATGTATGTAACACGAAGAGTCCAAGCTCCGTCGTATGAATTTGGTTTGCCTGATTAGCAACGCTTCATCGGAACATAACCACGGTATATCGCGGGGGGTTGGTTATACACGCACGTACGGCTGGTAAAAAGACCGAAGCCGATTTTTCGGTCGGCCGGGAAGCCGACGTCACGACGGGAAAATAAAATATCACCGATAGAAGAAATAACGAGAATAAAGTTATATATTTTAATCATAGAGAAATACAAAAGAGAGAGAGAGAGAGAGAGAGAGAGAGAGAGAAAGAGAAAGAAAGAAAGAGAAAGAGAGAGAGAGAGAGAGAGGGAAAGAGAAAAAAATATCTCATTTTAAAGAGAGTCATCTAGAAGAAAAGAAGAAGAAGAAGTAAAAGTAGAAGAAGTAGAAGAAGAAGAGGAGGAGGAGGAGGAGGAGGAGGACGAAGAAGAAGAAGAAGAACATAGACCGGGAGGAGGCGAACGAAACTGCCAGATTTGTAGGACCGACGCGTATATATTTACAGAAAATAAGGATCGTACGTATGATTCGATATTATTGTGATTCGTCCCTCTCTACAACCCTTTAAGTTCGTTGTCGTCGTCGTCGTCGTTGTCGTCGTCGTCGTCGTCTTCGTCGTAGCAGTCGCCGTCGCTGTCGTCGTTGTCGTCCCTTGAGATTGAATCTTTTCGCACGTACATACATACAATTTTACTCTCGCGACGAGGCGAGAGAGTATAATGTATGTGCTCAATACTTCTCTCTCTCTCTCTCTCTCTCTCTCTCTCTCTCTCTCTCTCTCTCTCTCTCTCTCTCTCTCTCTCTCTCTCTCTCTCTCTCTCTCATTCTTTGTTTATTATAGGACTTTATTATTATCCTTCGAAAGTTGATAGTGAAAAAAAAAAAAAGAAATAATATCGTATATGGAGCTAGGATAAATATTCGAATATCTTTTGTCACGAGTTTATTTTTTTTTTCTTTTTTTCTCTCGAATGAGAGTAATATCTCTTTCATTTTTCTTTTCTTTTATCTCTTTCTTTCTTTTTTCTTTTTTTTTTTCGAACGTTGATCCACCAAAGGTACAGGACGGTGCCCCGATTTTTTTATGTTTCTCTCTTTTTATTTCTCTCTTTCTCTTTTTCTCTCACTTGCTCTCTCTCTCTCTCTCTTTCTCTCTCTCTCTCTCTCTCTCTCTCTCTCTTTTTCTGTTTCTCTCACTCATACCTTCCTTCGTCTTTTTTCTTTGTCAGATCGTAGACAGCCGGATGAAACGCGTTTCCCGTGTAACCATGCATACGCATTCAACGTGACAAGCTGTCAATGTGCTGCTTTATTTTTCATTCTTTATACTCCCCAACAATGATACTTTCGCCAAAAGTTTCATCTGTTTGCGTGACAATGAATCCTTATATTCATTGAAATTATTTGATTTCTTTCTTTTTTATTTTTTATATAATCATCGACCGTTCCATGTAGTCAAGGTGATTTTGTTAAATAATCAGTTCCAAGATTTCTTACCACTTGTGCTCTTTCTTCTCTCTTAGATATTCGTATAATGATTTATTAATTATTATACTCCATAGATATATAGTGTTACTTGGGTTTCTTTTCTCTCTCTCTCTCTGTTTCAACAAATCGTAATAAAAGTTATATTTCATATTAATAAGAAAAAGTAATTATTTTGCAGGAATTATATTGTTTCTCTGTGTTTCAATTATATTCTATGTTTGGTATCATCAGGATTTAAAGATTTCACATTGACTCTAATATCTTTAGGAAGTTTAATGTTACATTTTAAAATATCTTTTATTTATTATCTCATAGAATTTTGTAAAATATGGCTGCATTACCACGAAGAATTATCAAAGAAACTCAAAGATTAATGCAAGAACCTGTTCCTGGTATAAGCGCAGTTCCAGATGACACAAATGCTAGATATTTTCATGTCATTGTAACGGGACCTGAAGATTCGCCATTTGAAGGTGGTTTATTTAAACTCGAGTTGTTCCTACCGGAAGATTATCCAATGTCTGCCCCTAAAGTGAGATTTATAACCAAAATTTATCATCCAAATATCGATAGGTAAGTATATCAATTTATATCTGTATATAACATTTTACATTTTAATTTTATCAAGATTTTCTTTTATATATCAGCTTTGAAAAAGATTATATTTAAAAAATTCATTTGAATATAAAATATTATGCAGATGAAAAGAAGTCCTTGAAAAGAAAGGGAAAAAAAAAAGTTTCTTTGGTGCATGATAAATAATATATTAATTTACATTTGACTTTAGATTAGGCAGAATTTGTCTAGACATCTTAAAGGATAAGTGGAGCCCCGCTTTACAAATTAGAACGGTTCTTCTATCAATACAAGCACTTTTGAGTGCACCAAATCCAGATGATCCTTTGGCAAATGATGTAGCTGAACTTTGGAAAGTTAATGAAAGTGAAGCGATACGTAATGCCAAAGAATGGACCCGGAGATACGCAATGGACAACTGATCTCAGCTTTGTCAAATCATTCGCAACACAAAGCAACGTTACCCCTTTTGTCCCAGTTTATTCGTCACCTTACCCGCACTAGCTGCATATCCTGCACCTGTGTCCACGATTTTGCTATAAAATCAATAAAAGTTTTGTAAGAGTAAATAGAATGGAACTGTATTTTCTATATTGTGGGAAATACAAAAACATCTTATTTAGATTTCTTTAAAAATTCATTTAGTAAACTCGTATGATTTTTTCCATTATAATACTACATATTTACAAAAGTATTCTTTAATTAAAAAAAGAAGAAAGTACATAAAAAAAAAAAAAAAGAAAAAAAAATAAATATTAATAGCAAACGTTGTTTATTTCGGCGCGTAATTTTGAATAAAATTGAGAAAGAAACAAGTATGCTATATTATACTAATTTACTAAATAATTACAAGATATTTTGTGCAGTGCATAATTAACATGCATTATGGTTGATGATTTTAATAAGCTACAAAAAATGTGCTAGAATCCATTAAGTTATATTATGTAATACATAATTCTTTATTGAATCCTTTTCATTCTACTAACTAAATATCACCTGGGATTGTTATGTGGGTACATATATTTATGCATAATACAAGAAGATAAATATTATCCTTATTACTGTATTTAAAAACAATAATATTTATTTATCGATTAATCCATATAGAAATTTTAAGATAACAAAACTACAAACTTCTGCAAAAATTAACCTTTCTAATGTAATTAATTATTGTACAAGTAATTATTTATGACTGCAAAAAATGGTATGAAGAAATTAATATAATTTAACGATAATATATGAAAGATCCAAAAGTTATATCTCTAACAAAAAATACATTTTTTTATTATTTGAGCTAAAATATCTTCGAATGCTAATTAATTAATTGTAGGTTGAAAAAGCAAAAACAAAAAAAAAAAAAGAACAAATTATTTTGTAATTCTTAAAACAACACATTCAATTTCGTTTGAATTAGACATAGACGACTGAAAATATGAGATAAATATTTACGTCTCACTAAAAAGCTTGCACTACCTCAATAGAAAATTGAGTTCGATGTAAAATTTTATTAGTATCGTGAGAAGAATATAATACTCTCAAAAGAGAAAACAACAAAAAGAAAAAAAAAAAAGAAGTAAAATATATATTATTATGCAACTGAACATATAAAGGATTCACGCGTAAATAATATTTTGTTGGAAGATTGTATACAAATTTCTGTATACTAATTTAGCGTTTATGTTTCACAAGAAAAAAAAAAAATAATACAATTTAAGCTTCCTAATATGGCACTTGGGTCTGTATATGTAAATTCAACTTCCAAATGGTTATACATAATTACTAAAATATATATACATATATTTACTTTCGAGTATCTTGCAACACACTAGAAAATATTTAATATAATTGTGGTTTGATTAATTGAATATATAAATTGTGATAAGTTATAAAATAACCCATATTAGTTGTGTAATGTTTCAAACACTTCCACGTCAGAAAATACAAGAATTTTATATGAAAAAGAAAAAAAAAAAAAAGAAAAAAAAGAAAGAAAGAAAAACAAAACAAAACAGGTATATAATGTTTGCATGTATTTGATTATCGAATGCTTATTAAAAATTTACGTGTATATGGAAGCTTGATGATGCATTAAGAGAAATGTAATTTCAAATGATTATGCTAACCAAAATTGGCTATTGTGTGTTCTATTAACAAAGTTATTTTTTTATTAACACATTGCACGTATATGTATATTTTTTTCTTTCCTTTTTTTTTTTTTCTTCAAATAAGAATAATCAATATTGTCAGTGCATTAGCTTTTTATGTGTTTTATCATATCAGCAAATTTATAATAGTAATAATAATAATAATAATAATAATAATAATAATAATAATAATAATAATAATAATAATAATAATAATAATAATAATAAAATATTATTATTTAGTATTTTTAAAGATGACACAAACTGGATTAATAGGGGGTATAGAGAAATACTCACGAAGTAATTGTATACTTAAAAGCGCATTGCTTTGGAAGTGGTAAATATCTTCATAAAATATATATATATATTTTTTTTTAAATATATAAAATATATATATATATATATTTTCAATTTAATTATATATAAAGAAAAAAAAAATAAAAAAATAAAATACTTCACATAATGTAGTGTCACATAATTGTGTGACATAATTGTTGATCCTTTTTGACCATGTGTACTCGTACAAGCTATAAATAATTATTCTTTTATGAGTCAAGTCATATACATACAATATACATACAATATTAATTTTTATTCTGCATTGTCGAATTGACAAATTTATATTAAGAAAACAAATGCATTAAAAATTGGTTGTAGAAAAAAATATATATATATACTGAAAAGGAATAGTCAGTCAATCGCATATGCTGTTAGAAAAAAAAAAATTGGAATAATTTAAAAAAAAAATTCTTACTCAGCTTTGAGAAAAACTTCAATAATAATTTAATATGTAATATCATTTAAAAATAAGGCGATATTTGCAGGTAAATAGTTGATTAAAAAAAAAAAAAAAAAAATGAGAAGAAAAATTACCACAAAGATGTTGCAAATAACGCAGCAATATAATGATTATTCCATGGTATTGTTTAAATAAAAATACACTATATTCCACAAAAAATAAAGTAAACAAATTCGCGTGTTTATGCTACGTGATAAGCGATAAATAGTTAAAGAAACGTATAATGGATGCATGTATATATAGATGTCTTGTGAACATCGTACTAATAAAAAAAATATAGGTTGTTTAAATATACTGTTCTTCACTCATATGCATATATATTATGTATATATATATATAAAATTTTTGCTATGTAGTAAAACCAAAAATATAAAACAAGTATACTTACACATGTTCGTAAATATATATGTATATATATATTTACATATTTGAATATGCGGTAAGAAGATAGAGAAAAAAAAAGATAAAGAAAGCAAAGTATTGGATAAACATTTTAGAAAGGTAAGAATATTTGATCAATGTGAAATATTTGCTTATATAAATTCTGTAAGCATTCGAAGAAGTTCTGTTTATTATATATATATATGATATATATATATATATATATATATATATATATAGATCAAATAAGTTTCATAGTTAATTCTTATTAAAAATCAATGTTTTTTCTTTTCTTTAAACAAAAATAATACCTTTTATAAAACATGACTGATTATTATTAGAATGCGTAACACGAGAAATACGTTGGACAAATGAGTTAATTAAATTTACGTAAAAGGAGGGATGAAACATTTTATATGGAATTATTAAATTTAAATTTGAATTTGAATAATAATATTAGAATTTTTATTATTTTTCCCACCAACTGAAATTTTTATACTCTTGTATTGAGTAATACGTTAATTCTCTAATTTCACAAGAATGCTATATTTTCTTTTTCTTTTTTCCTTTTTATTATTATTATTATTATTATTATTATTATTATTATTATTATTATTATTATTATTATTGTTGTTATTGTTATTATAAATTGCAGTTGTCCAACGTATTTCAATAAATATTCGTAATGAGCAACAATTTGACTTTTGCATTAATAAATAAATAATGAATAATCGTTTTTTCTTACAAGTACGTGATGTATATTATAAGAGTTGCAACTATTCTGTTGAAACTTTAAATCTTAAGGCATCTCACTGCAGGTCAGTGACACAGAAATACATAGATGCATTTTGAATTTGAATTCAAAATTACATTTTATTGTTACCTTAATACGGACTAGTATAGTAATTACCATATACACATTCAATATAGCTCACTTATAATTTTAACTTATTATACATTCGCAAACACACACATTGATAGAGAGAGATTAGTCATGATAATTTGTAGTGTGTCTCTCATGACTAGTGAAAGCTACAGCGCAAGCTCTATGAATGTATAAGATATAATTATTTTCATTTCTTTTACGAACGGTTTTATTTCGAATATTCTTCGGTAACGATTCTCCCTGCAATTTTGAATCTATTCCTCATAACTGACATTGCACAATCATATCATTGTCACGTTGTTGAAAAATATAAACATAATATTTTACAAAAATCTGGAAGTAATCTTTGGCTTACTATGGCATTACACTTATCGCGTTAATAGTTATATTTATCTAGCAAATGATATTTTTGTTTCCATTAATTTATATATTCAGAAAGATTCCTGGATTAATTTCAAATATATTATTCAATATCCATTAATTGATTTATTTTTGTAGATTTATATTCTTGCAAATATATCTTATTACTCTTTATTGTGACCATAACAAGCCATATATTGTTAAAACATAAAATAATTCGAACCACTTAAATTAGAAATATAAAACAAAAATAATATATATATATATATATATATATATATATATATATATATATATATATATATATATATATATATATATATATGTATAAACGATACACGGAGATAAGACACTTAATACATACTTTTAACAATAACCTATGTAATACTATATTTTAATAGTAATAGACAAAAGAGATGACCATGCAAGATCAGATGGACAGTTAAAGTTAGTTGCAGATGTGTTATTTAAAATGTGGCTAGACACATTCAGTCAGGGTGGCTTGCAATGGCTGAGTATTAATTTCATACATTTTTAGCATAATGACTAGATAAGTTTCAGCCACCCAATCTAATAACATCTTGTTTGATCCCATATATCATATTCGTACCGCTCTGTTGCTCATCAAATATATGGATAAAAATTTCTATGCCAAAATTCATTGCCTTTTTAATTGGTATACACTGACACGATAAATCCAAAAATCTGGATATTTCTGCAAAGTATAATACTTTTTGCACATATTTTAAATATGATTTATTCATAAAGAATGAATGTGTGTAGTTTCTAATGATATAGATTTCTTCGTGATATGCAATTTATAATATGCTTTCTATATATTTTTTCAATTAATAGAATTATTGTACATAGGTCAGAACATTATTCATAGTCTATATATATATATATATGCGTGTGTATATATATGTGGAGGAAGGGGGATTTTGTTTTTATTGGAAAATTAATTCAAAGTATAAAGAAAAGTTTATCCACATGAGTTTTTACATTCTCATTTAAAAAATATGTATATGAACTTGTACCTGATAGTTCTTCCTCTGTCCATTTAAACTAAATTGATGTTATGATATATATTATTTTTTTTCTTACAACTCATAAATTTAAACAACAACAAAACATTTATTTTGTACAGTTTATATATTCTTTTTTAGTCAATTATCTTTTCTCTTTTTCCTATGACTTATGTTGTAACCTATGCATTTACATGTATATTTACGTATGTCTTTCGTTCTTTATTTATTCATTTATTTTAGTTTTATATATATTTCAATAAACATTTCTAACGTAATCATTCTCCCCAAATTACTCTAATGCAATTTTAAATCTGACTAATGCGTTGACAATACTAAAGTGTTGTCCTCGACTCTTCCTTCGACTTTATTATCTTTATTATATTCTCTCTTTATCTTTCGCAGAGAATTTTTACGTAAGAAATGTTGGGTAATAGTGGATTAGCTATTTACTTTAATAATTTAATCAACAACTTTGTTTCAAACAAAAATATGGAATGTTATTATTTATTAATTTATGAGAATGCCAAAAAAGCAATGAGATAATTTTAACGTATTCTTTAAATTTGAAGATTTTATATATAAAATTATAGAGAATAGAATTTTATAAATATATTCCATAATCGTCTATCGAAATGATTATTTGCAGTTCAAATCACATGCACACAAAATTCAATTTTAAAATGCTGATTACTTAATGTACTTTGGCATTGAAATTTTATCAAACACCAGGAATTCTAAAATTTGCACCACTGCATATATTTCTTGGTATTCTAAGCTGAATAGTTTAAAGGTGAGAAATTTTCAGCAAAAATAGATACAACTTAGATTATTATAATACACAGTACTTATATAGAAGAGAGGTACCATTTCATTGATGGTATAATTTATTTAGCTTACATATATGTGGAATGGATAATTTATCCTATATTTTTTTTTTTATAGCATAGATTGCATCAGTCTGTATATTTTAGAACAATTTTATAATACACAGTGCTACAGTGACTCAAGTGTAATGGATTATACATTGCATACCAATGCATTTTAAAGTTACACTAAGTGCGCACAACCAGCCACTACAGACTCCAATAAGAATATCTAGAGGAAATTTTGCCTTAGGTGAGAATGTGTGAAGATTTATAAGTTTCAGTAAAATAAATTGTATCTCTCATAATATGATCACAAATATGACAACACTATAATATTTAGGAATTCTTCTGAATAACCAATTCATTGGATGCTGACTAAAATAAAAGGCTTACACAAGCCTTATTGAAATCTGTCAGCTTAGCAGTTTTTACATTGTCATAGTATATAAATATTGTACGCAATTAGTTGTTTAAGTCATATATGTATATAATAATATTTTTTATGGCCAACCCTTAATTTCTTTTTTTTTTTTTTTTTTTTTTTTTTACATATCTGCAGAAATCAAGGAAAATGATAAATCGGATTATTCTAATAAATATACATTTGCTAAATACAATTCTTTATCAATAAAATAATCTCATCAAAATGCAAACGTTATTTATATAATCATTTTGTATAATATTCCAATCAAATCATCAGCCATCGTACTTGTGCGACATGCATTTCGTATCTGTTCTTCTGGGCTATATGCGAATATAAGATTTTTTTACTTGTACTTTTTTGTACATATATTTTTCATATTCATGCTTTATCATTATCATATATATTCAATTTGTTACAATAGAATTACATATAATAGCCCTGTTGATATCTGCATATATATGTACGCATATCCTATACAAATGTCACCATCCAATAATATAGAAAGAGGTAATAAAGCAGAGCAGCTTAAAAAGAAAAAAGAAACAGAAAAAAAAATTTAGGAATGAAAAGTACTTCAGGGAACTCCTTTTTTTGTTATTTTGCTGACTCTTCTATATAATTACTATGACATATATATGTACGACATATAGTTATATATATATATATATATATATATAACTATGACGAGAGACATACATGACATATATGCATATATTCATATGCATATATAAACATATATGTATATATCACGAGACTTATGCATTGAAAATTCTATAATAGACAAATTGTAGTTTAGTACAAATTAATAAACTTGGGCGATGTGCCTCAAGCATTGACGAGCTCAAGGATAAAAAAGATTAAATGAATGATTTAAGTTGAGTCTCCAAAAGATGAGAAGAGACAACATGTTTTATAAATATTACTACGTCATTAGCTATAATATATTATACAGTTCAGCCCTGCTCTAAATATCAATAAAGAGCTTTGTGCTATTTATAATCATGTGCACTGCATCATCTGCATCGCCTAGCGTCTTTCTTGGCGCAAATAATGTGATCCTCTATGGCAATTGATATTAGAGATTAGTATCATTTTTTCCTCTTTTTTTTTTTTTACATAAAATAAAGCATATACATTTATATCAATTACAATGATTTGGATTAGCCTGAATGCTTTAGCATTGTCACTATACAGATGCACATGCACTGTAGATTTAATGTTAATCTTAAAATCGGTTTACATATGACTAAAGGATGTATCTCTTTAGTAATTTTTTTGTCTTTCCTTTTTGTACATTATACAAGATTGCTTTTATGTGGAAAGAGAAAATGACGGATATGAAAAGCAAGAGAAGTATATATTATTATTATTATTATTATTATTATTATTATTATTATTATTATTATTATTATTATTATTAATATTATTATTATTATTATTAATATTATTATTATTATTATTATTATTATTATTATTATTATTATTATTATTATTATTATTATTATTATTCCTTTTGCTCAAGAATTATTGCATCATATTCGTCTGAGTAGTTGCAACTCTTGCTTGAAGCTTTAGACACTAGGACCAACTATTCTCCTTCATGGGAATGCAATTTTTCAAGAGTGAATTTTTCAAAGGCATTTCAAAGGACTTGCCATAGAAAATCTCATTAATTTAATTAAGGTGTATATTTATATATATATTATGTATATTTAAGGTAATCACAATAATTATATAAATTATGCTCGGGTAAATATTCAATGTTTCAGTAACCTACCTAGGTAGTCTTGGTTTACTAAGCAGGAGCGCTGGTGATGTATGAACTGCTCCATTGGAATTGTAACACAAAGCAATTTGCGTGAAATAATCTGTACAATAAAGTGGTAAATAGTGTGGTAGTGGATGGCGGATGTATTGTCTGTTCACTACGCATCAGCCAGGCAACTGAACGTTTATATGTACACTGGAGATTCCTGGCCAGTTAACAGCCTAAACATCGAAGTGGGCATTGTCTTCATCAGGATCTGAAACAATGGATACCGTATGTAAGTAAAAAAAATAATATGTCTACTACGGATTTGTATACATGTAATTACGAGATATTACATAATCATTTCGTTCATACTTACTTCACCGACAGAGGTGGCAAGAAGATTAACTATCTTTTCATGTGGTACAGCAACAACACTCTGATTGTTAATTTCGATTATTCTATGACCTACTCTTACACCCCCTCTTTCTGCGATACCACCTCTTAACAAACTGCATATCACCCCATTCTGTACACTAAATCCTAACTGATACTTCGTATCAGGTCTCTTGATTTTCACTTCAACAACGGGTGCACATGGTACGACAGTTAACTTTACGACCGTTTGATTTTTTGAGTTCTTTATATATGTCTGACATGTTGATAGAGGTAAGCCAACTAACGACACGCCATTAATTGCTATTATTTGATCACCAATATTCAATTGCCCACAACGAGCAGCAGCACCAGCTGGTGCTAGATTAGCTATAACTACAGTTGGCAGCATAGAGCCCCATCCAGATTCAACTATTACTACACCAAGAATTTCACCTTTTGCTTTTGGTACAACCACCTAAGAACAAATCAATTATATTTTCTTAAACATAAAATAAATTTTTTTTTTCTTTCCCTTTTAACAAATATAGAGGAATGTAAACATAAAAGAATTTCATTGATTACCTCTTTCTGCATTTCCTTTTTTGCGAACATTTGCAACTCATCGCCAAATATCTCCTGCGAATTAAGTACTTCTTGATAATCCATTTCTTTAACAAAACTATGATCTTCTATTCCATTTGCTTTTAGGAACTCCATGTAAGCTACTTGAAATGCTTGTCCGATACTTTGTGCAATAAACTGAGCTTCTTCACTTTCAAAAACGTGGCAGATCATTTTAGGAGTCCTGTTTATCTTGGGGGCTTCTTCCATCTCATGTGGTACGAATCGTCTTCGAGCCATGAGAACGACCAAGTCACCGATATCTGCTATGTACGAGATTGTTCGTAAAGCATGGTCCATCATAATTTCTTTCAAATCAGTGTTAAGGACCATAATTTTTTCTGTTGAAATAAATAGGTCGACTTCGGTACTGGGTTGAGTTTCTCCATCTGGTGCCTAAATAAAATCAAAGATATTTTTATGAGATACACAAGTATTTTCTAGAAACGTATGACATCCCTTATAAAATGTACGTACCAATGCCTATTGCAAGAAGCAGCATGTTAAATAAAGTAAAAAGAAAAACAACAATTTATTATTAACATTTTACAAAAGGGCTGTTGAATGAAAAATATTATACATTCCAATGCACGTTATTATCAGGCACTGATTTAAAGCGAATAATGCATACAGTTGAAATTAATATATTGTATATTATTTGTGAAGATCCCATAAACCTGAGAGTTTAAATGTGTACTTTTGTTAGAGTATCTTAAAATTCAATGTAACGCTCCATTTATTGGTTGGTAAGAATTAAAGAGAATATATATAAAGGAAATATATTTCGCACATTGATTGATATCATATTTCATTGGAAAGATCAAACTAAGAAACATCTTTCCAAAAGATAATTAATACAAATAGAGGTACATTTGGGTAAGGCGGACCTTTATTTTAGTCACAGCCTCTTCCACCATGTGATTCTTAAGGCGCTTACGCCGTTTACGTCCCCCTTCCTCTTCCACCTCCACCGACCCAAGAAATTGTAGTCTGAAAACGGTTGTGGGGCCCAAGGAGCCACTGATCGGGGCCAGTTTTGGTTGGGCGGCTATTGTGTGTGTCTCGGACTGGCCCCCACCAGAAGCACTCCCTATAAGTTCTTCGCTTGAGTCACATTCGTCTTCCTCTAGGCTTCCTTGTGAAGTAATGCTGCAGCGGCCGTAACCATGCTGCCCCCCATAGTTTAAGAGCGTAGCCTGCATTGGCACTGGCCCATCCTTCCGTTACGCGCACGCCAAACAAACAAACAAACAGAGGCTCTGCTAGTCACATTGCCACGCACCACCAACAAAACAAGGCAAAAGAGCCAAAGTTATTGGAATCTGAGTTGCTGTTTACATCTCTATTTATAATAATAATAATTTATATATATGTATATATATATATATATATATATACTCTGTATATATGTGCAAGATTTTAAATGTATTTAATACATTTAAATTAAATTAAAAGGGCTTTTAATATAAGCATGCGTACTTTAAATTGACTTTCTAAGAATTATTGAACTAGGCTTATGTATTATTATCTATTGATACACAAATATATAAATGCTTGATGTTGATATTATGAATGGAATATGTATGTATATATATATGATAGTGCAGAATTTATACGGTATTTATGTGTGCTTAAATTTCCATGAATGATTAACAATTAGCAACCCAGAATTCCAAATATTAGGGTTTGGTAATGTCCATAAGCAATGTGGTTTCTATAATTATTCAACATAAAGAATTATCATTACGTTTTACGATGAATAATTAAAGAATAAAAGCAATCAAGGATATGATATTTATTATATGTAATGAAATCTAATATTAGCATTATAGAAATATATTATTATGATGTAAATTACTCATTTATAAATTAATTAATAAATGAGTATGGATTACGAGCAGAGATATAATATCAATTTATAAATCCTTTCATTGATCCAGAAACAAATCCAAGGTTTATAGATAAAGATTTCTTTAAGTAGTTTTGTAAGAGTATAAACATATACAGGAGAATCAAAAATTATTGGCACTTGAGATATCTTGTTTGTTCTTTGTTATATTTAAAATTATTTTAAATAAACAATATACAAGATTTTTTAAAACCTGTATATGATCTTGGTGTTTTTTTCTTTTTTTATATGCCAAAGTATTCTATAATTCCTTCTCTCTCTCCCTTTCCTTCTCTCTCCTCCCCCCCTCTCTCTCTCACTCTTTCTCTCTCATGCAAGTTTTATTGAAAAAATATTTCAATAAAATCAAAAATAAATAAGATATTCCAAGTGACAAAAATTACAGATCCACCAAGTTATAGTCTAATAAGGAGTGCAAGCTATCAAGTGGCTACTGATCATATACACTAATGAGAAGCAAACAATACAGCCTAACTATTTAATATAAACGGAGCAATCTAAATACTTAAGAAATAAGAAAAATGCAAAAGATTGAGCTACTTTCACTTATAACAAAAAAAATATATATATAATCTACTATGTTCTATTAAGTTATATAGAACAAAAATTAATTAATTTTACTTTTTGTTTAATACAATAATACTTTGGATGTAATACAATTCCTTTTTCTTTTTAAAAGAGCAGTAATCACCTGCTTTAATCACTGCTGTAGCATGAAAAATACAAAGTAATAAAGTACGCATCATGTAGGCAAAAGTTTTGTGAAGTAACATATTTTGTGCATAAAGCATACTTCATTATATGCATAACATATAGAAAAAAAAACGAATATAGAGCAAGCAAATATAGAAAGATATCCGCAGAGAGACCGACAAACAGACACATCAAGTTACACCGAGAAGATGACAGTGTTCGGTGGTCAGGTGGTGGTGTTGGTGATGTGAGGAAGGGGGCGCTACACTGAAACATTCAGGCCTTTTTGCACACTGGCCAGTTCACAATTATTAAGATTATTCATATAAAATAGATATTGTATACGTATAAGTATACATATATAAGTATACATAATAGCCAACATCTGGACATAGTTGTTTGTGAAGTATTTACTTCATATCTTCAATAAAGTTATAAAGTTATTTTCACTTTTATAAACTAATGAATTATTTATTTTAATGGCAATAATCTTTTATTGTTCAATTATCTAATGATTTGATTAATTTATTGTACAATTTTCATATAGATTTGAAAGTCAATTGTCCAAATATTGACTTTTAATTTTCAAAGAACCTAAGAGTGGAAGGAAAGATTTTACTGTAAGATATTTTACTACATATATATATATATATATATATATATATATATATATATATCGATAATTTCTTTTAAATATAAGCTATGTCAGTATATGTGCATTGTTTCCTTAATAAGAAAAATATACCTTGAATAATTATCAAGGAGATAGTGATGGAAAAGAGTATAGAGATAGAATGGATGTATGTGAACAAATTCTATGTATTAAAATATTTTGGCATATATAAACTATGGCAGTGCACATAATGCAACACTGAGTCACATTTATTTTCACAGTATTCTTTCCTGCAAAAAACTCTCAGGTTTAACTACCTAAAGACTCAGTATTTTAACCATTTGAGGTAAATATTTTAATATATCTATTGGCATACTTAAGAATAAAAGCAAAATATTGTTAAGAGCATTTAATATAAAAAAAAATGTTTTTCTTACAGTAAGCTTATTACAATATTATAACAGTAGGGAAAGCCTGGCCTAACTGTATTAAAAGACCATTTCACTGAAAAATCCTCAAAAAGTTAAAAGTATTAACACTGAGGTACATTATTACAGTTAAAAATATTGCACTGTTATTGATCATAAATTAAGTTGCAAATTAAATCTTATAAAGCATTCAGAGCATGCTGCTATAATTTTAGATCATCATAATTCATTGTGTAACACTAATGGCAATCCTAATATATGTATATAATCTGTTTTATACTGTCTATAACAATTATGCTATTATACTTATTCTTATATTTCCAATACACTTTACACGTTTGGATTCCTATAGTATTTATTATTATCTTATTTAACTATGTAAAATGTTAATATAAGAAATTAAAAATGGCCCTTTAAGAGATATAGTATGAATAATTTCATAATATTATTAATCTATTATTAAATAATTTTATTTCTAATATAATACTTTGCATTGGGAATATAAACTTAATTAAATTAATTATTATTTGATATTAAAGACCTTTAATGCATATATGTGATATATATTTATGCATATATCAATATATACATACCTTTATTCGAGAAACAGCTTCTTCTGCTTGACACATTCTAGTTGATTTTGTTGGTTGACCCTCGCATACTAATTGTGTAGATCCTAAGTATCTTGCTCTGAACAATACACCTTCGATCAACACTGAAGGATCGTCCAATAATGCTGAAATTTCCACAGAAATAGACCATTTAGAATTTACACTATCTGTTGCGTTAAGTTTTGCACTAGATCTTGCACTACATAATCTACCAAATGCAACTAAGTATTCATCAGTACAATGAATTAGTTTGATTGATGATAATAAAGTACTATCTGATAAAATTTCCATTTGATTAACATTGTTTGTTAAAGCCATTTAAATAATGTTTTAATATTGTGTTATGAATTGAAGCAATGGAAATATATTTTTTACACTTCTTATGTATTTTTTAAACAAAAATCTATACATTTTAACAATTTCTCTTAACTACACATTATATATGGTAAGTGTATGAAATAAATATATCATTGAATATAATCTACTTATCAATTGATGAAATATCTTATCAAAGATTTTGTAAATATGTTGGAGATTATCTAAAATGACTACTCTGTAATATGTCTCTTGCACATTTGAAACAATATTGATAATTCAGTTGACATTTATCTTCTTCAATAAATTTGTTTTCTCATCAAAATAACAAAGTGCATATATATATATATATATATATATATATATATATATATATATTATTTAAATAAAAAGTATTTAATAACGAATACATGTTGAAACATACCATATGTACCATGATGAATTGATGAAAGTTCATCAATTATACACATTTGAATAAGCAGCAATTAAAGGAAGAAAAATATATCATTAACATATTTTGTTGAACAAAGAATGTGAATGTTATATTTTCATATAAATGAAGAATTATAGGAATATATAATATTACCTTCTTTATTTCGACTTTTCTTCTTTCCTTCTTTATCCTGTAAAATATAAAAGTGTACAATGCACATAATTATCATTCAAACAATATGATTAAAACATGTTGAAATCTAAATTTGACTATAATACTCACATAATATAATCATCTAAAGCTTTTATTATAAATGCCGATCATGCAATGTTTGCAATTAAATAAAAAATTATTGTAACGTTATATAATTAAAATATTGTAAATATTTCTCAATTAACAACTATTGTAATAAAATATTTTTTGTTGTCATAGATTATTGAAATATTTTCTTAAGAAAAAAAAAAAAAAAAAAAAAAAAAAAAGAAATAAAAAAAAAAAAAAAACAACTAAAAAACTCTATCATTGTAAAAGATTCATAAAATAATCCTTTAATCTTAGTATATATAATACTCTAATAAAATAAATTTATGTATGAATAAAATGATCATCAGATAATGATTATAATTATATTTACAATCATAACACACAAGCAAGCTCTTAGCTAGAAATGTGATATGTACACTGCATTCTTCAAATAGATAAGACATGTACTGATAATAGAAGAAAAAAGAAAAGAATAAGCTTATTGTAGGCAAAGGCAATAAGGAAATATAAATTATGGAGAAGTTTGGTTTGCATTGAAATTAATAGGAAATGTTTACTATCAGGCATAGATATATCTCTCAGCTTAAATATTATAAATTCATTTTAATTCATATCTTATATATGTAAATATCATTTAGATTAAAAATCATCATTATCAAAGTTTTTTATATCATATATATGTGTATATATATATATCCTTTCTCTAAAAGGACATAAATAAAATCGTTACGCTCAATGATATTTTTATGTATTCAATTCTTAATTCTATTTAAGCTGACGAGATTGTTTTATAGACAACAATTGAAGAATTTTATAAAGACGAATATATATCAGAAGAGATCTAGTTATCTGTAACATTATGACAGATCGTGCATCAACAAGTGCTATCTTATCACTGCCCATTAAATGTATCATTTACTACATTCTAAAAGAGACCCAAGTGAGAGAACATTGAAAGGGCACCTTTTTCACCTTGTTGCTGGATTCCTTCAGACTCTGGGGAGACGAGGGAGAATTTTTGACTGGGGTCTTCGGTGGACTTGTTGCAGGTTGCGTAGGGGTAGTTACTTCGCGTTCAGAAGGTGATGATTGAATAACAGATACTACAGGAGGTGGAGAAATGGAAGTAGACGTAGATGGCAAAGGTTCGGACGGTGCTAGCGTTTCTATAGGAGTAACACTTAAGGTTTTAGGAGGGGTTTGCTTAGGAGTTGCGATTTTTGCACTCATTGGTGGTAACATTGTCCTAGTCTTAGGCTTCCGCCACCCCTGCATAATACCAAGACAACATTAATAGGACACCAATACCTCTTGTCAAATCGCGCAGTTAAAGAAATAATTATATATACCAAATTTTAATCAAGTTATCAACGTGTGTTAATAATGGATTGATTATGCATTCCAAAATATATATATATATATATATATATATATATATATATATATATACATATATATATTTTTATTACGAATATATTATCACTGTTATTTGTATACGAATATAAAATTAGGAAAAAAAAAACTAAATCCCTTACTTTATCATCATAAAATCCTTGATCATCAGTTCTTTGTTGTCCTAATAATCGATCAGTCTCAAGATCAGTGTCCGCTTCTTCTTCGTCCGGACCTTCTTCAATTTCTACGTCCGCTTCATCACCTGCTCGTCGAGCTTCCGAATCCTCGCTATTACTTTCCATACATATTCTCCGCCTGGAATCCAATATACTACATCTTAGTTAGATGCACTCGCACAAAAAGTGAAGATCGTATGTGTATTTAAAAGTATATTTAATCCAATGTAAATATTCAATGAAATAAATTAAATCTACGAGTAAACCACACGATTGGAATACACTCTTGCAAAAAAGAAAAGAAAAAAAAAAAAAAAAAAAAAAGAAAGAAAGAAAAAAAGAAAAAAAAAATTTTTAGAAATACCTTGGTATCCAAATAGGACTAACACTTGGTTCTGGTGGTTCTTCAGATGGCGATTTAACAGGAAGTGTTTTAGTTCTTTGTAATGCCATTCTAATATCTTTAATAGCTGCTTCTACCTCACCACCTATTTCCAAATTGACACTTTGTCTACCTTGGGGTGCCGGTGGTGGAGGTGTACCCAAAGGATCTAATCCATCAAGTTGTAACTCATTGGTCTCATATGAGTTTTCCTTTTTCGCAATAAATAAATCAGGTGACGATGTTTTCAACGTATGTAAAATATCCTTTGTGACATTTAAACTCACATCTTTGCCAGATTCATTTTCAGTTCCTAACATGTCATTGCGCGTCCTTTGAATGATTTCTTTCTCTATTTCATTTATTTGCCGTTTCATAAGCATTACCGTTGGATTATTATTATCTGTGTCACTGGCATGTCCACTTGATAAACCGTCTTCCAATACAGGCATACTCGTATAGATTCTAAGAGAATCCGAATTATTTCCTAAATCTCCAACTGAACCAAGTAAACCACTGGCCGGCATTAATTCATTATCCATCATCATTAGAGAAACTTCGCTATCTAAATCTCCGCAATTGCTGTCGCAGTCAGTTGTTTCAGGACTTAAAGTAAAATTACGTGAGTGGCCAACCTGTAAGCCAACTTCTGTCTCTCCAAGGTCTTCACTGCTTCCAGTGCCTACTGAGAGATCCAAAAAATTGTTTTCATGTTCGCCAGTCTAAAAAAAAAAGAAAAAAGAAAATAAAGTAACATAATTATTCATTAAATTAGTGTACATTTAAATATGTAAATACTAATGTAAATACTTTGCAATTGAAATTATCGATATATATATATATACAGAATATATATATATATATACAGAATATATATATATATATATATATATATATATATATATATATATACAGAATAGTATATATACATATATACTATTAAAAATATGATTAAAAATACACTCTTACTTTGAACTTGTTAAACATTAGACCAATATACAAATTAAACATATAAATCAATTTTTATAAAAGAATATCTTAACTAATATTATCCACTGTAAATTAATAATATTAATTTACTAAATGATTTAATAAATTAGTTAAAATAAATATTGATACCCATATTCGTGTAATGTTAGGAAACTGTATACAAGGCATTTTTTTTTCTTTTTTTTTCCTTCCTTTTTTTTTTATAAATAAATATAGTATTTACATTTTGAGGAAAATCAGGTCTCTGCTTTTTTGGTGATTCGTGTACCATAACCTCCTCAGTTGGGGGTGGACCACTAGCTAAACGCTGACCTACATATGCACTTCCTCCTTGTCTTCGCAGTTCATAATCCAAGTCCTTGTAAAATTATTAAAAATAATTTTAATTAATATTTTACATTAATGATAAAAATTAATCCAAGTGTAGTTTAAGTATGAAATATATTGATATAAATTTTTCAATATATATTATATAATAAATAAAATACTTACTTGGAATGGAAACGATTCAATGCTATTTTCTTTCTCTTTGGATGGAGGTGGACATTTGAAAAATTCTTCTAATACTTTTCGAGTTTCAGAAAATTCATATAAGTAATCAAAAGTACTACCACCTGGTGATACAAGACTACTTATATTGTCAGTAGGTAAAGCTGGTGGTTTCAATGAATCTTCTTCTTCATCCTCAATTTTAGGAGACGATGGTGAAACATTTATCGATTGATCTTCCGTGTGAATGGTTGTTTCTATCACAGGTTTTTCTACAATAATTTCAGCAGAGGTATCCTCCTTCTTTAATAAATGAATCATATAAGATATTAGTTGTGCATATAATAAGATAAGAAAAAAATTATTCGTTTATTAATATACCTCTTTATGATTGGGTGTTGTTGGTAATACTCTTTGTGGAAAGCCAGGTCTTGGTGTCATGTATACAGAGGGTGATGACAACAAACTAGGAAGTTGTGGATTTTCACGAACGCCATAACGTCTTGGACTTCCTGAATACTGTGCGATTGGTAGTTCTCCTATTACTCTTGCTACTTTATGATTACGCTCTGGCGAAGGTGAATCTATTTCACAATCACTTGCTGTTGTTACAACCTAAAAAGGAACAATTGTTTTTGTTTACATATAGAAATTATTTAAATTATATCAAATATAATACCTTAAAGAATTCAGATGTATTATGGTGATATGCTGTTGTAGGACTTGGTGTACTACCAACGCTAGAACTTGGTGGTTCAGGAGGAATACGACCTCTCTGTTGATCTTCTGTTTCCAAATCTATATTTGTTGTAGTAACTTGAGTTGTATTATTTGATGCTAAATCCAAACGCAGACCTTGCCAATTATCATCTATATCATCGAACACCACCACTTCACCATCACTAACAATAGCCATACTTCTTGCTGGTGTAGTGTGGTTTGATTGATAATCTACACAGTTCTTTGGTAATCCATAATCCAGATCAGTAATACTTTTAGGTACACTGTATTCTACATTATTGCTATTTAAAATCGAATCATAATTAATAATACAATTGCTACGATTACTTTTAGGAGAATCGTAATCAAGGATAGACTTAGTAGGATTACGTCGTACTGAGTGCACCTCAGATGAGAATACAGTTTCTGTAACCTCTCGGTTCGTACGTTGTTTCCTTGTTTCACCACATCTGTAAAACGTGAAATAAATAATAAAACGATGAAATAATATATGCCACTTAGTAATTTCTGAATTTATTATAGAATGTCAAAAAATAAATATTTACCGGCTTCGTAATTCCCAAATAGTTTGTGTGCTCGGAGACTTATTATTTTTCTTAATGGATAATTTGTTGTCTGCTTGAGTATCCTCGTTATTTAATGAATTCGATGCAGCGTTAAAGCGAGATTTTCTTGCTGCTACTTTTCCTCGGCTTTGAGAGAAAACTTCTCGACCACCAGCAATTTCTATGATTCTAAAAAAAATAAAAATAAAAATAATAATTAACATTTATATTTAAATCCTTATAATATATTATTTTTTTGAATTTATATTAAAAAGTACTTTTGATTAAAAATATTTCTCTATAAATTAATACAATTTGTTATGAAATTCAATATGTTACAATATACATTATTTATTACTTTATACAATACACAATAATAATTCATACGTTATCGTCATAAAGCATGGATAATGTCATTTCTATAAACAAACATCGATGATTCAAATGTCAGAGAAACTAACCGCAAAACGTCACATCAAATGTAAGCGTTTTACATTCCTCCTTTGTTAGAACATATTATTTCTCTTTCTCTCTTTCTCTCTCTTTCTTTCTTTCTTTCTCTTTCTTTCTCTTTCTCTCTCTCTAAACATCTATATTCATCAACGTAAAATGTTTATTATACATTTTCTGAACGAAATACCATAAGGTTCATTCGTTTTATCATCGTTATATCGAATATAATTTTATATTAAGAAAAAAGAAGGATGGAGGAATGAAAAAAAGAAAGAAAATAAGAAATATATAAACATCATAATTAATCACCGATGAGAGCTAATAATGAAGATTTAATTTTTCTTTTTTTTTTTTTTTTTTTCGCTTAGAAAAATATAAAGTTTTTGATGTTTAATCAAAATGATTCTTACAACGTCCACTTGGTTGCGCTCCCGTCGAACTCGAGAGTAAAAGAACTTTTTAATCCAACGTTTTGATCACGCTAGAAAAGAAGAAACGCGTAATCCCAATCAAAACGTTGTAATATTTTTATAAACCATTTTGCTCTCGTAAGAAAGAAAAAAAGAAAGAAAGAACGAAAGAATGAAAAAAAGAAATGAAGGAAGTCAAAAAAAATTTACATATGCAATTGATATACTATTGCTTTTTCTTAAAATAGGTCAAACGTTTTTACGTTACCTGTGTATATACGGCGATCGATTAAACGAGTTATCGAACAGTAACAAGAGAAGATCGGTAGAATTTTAAACGATATTTCCGTTTGAATATAACTATTGTACGAATGTAAAAACAAATCATAAGTAACATTGAATATTTCACTTGGTTTAATATACCAGTCGACGACAGTGCTCTCGAAATACATATACAAAATTTAAAATACACATACGGAATATTATTTTTCCAATAATTAAAATCACGATAGAATGCGCATTTGAACGAACTACGAACTACGAGATATATATATATATATAGTAAATTCCATTCTTAAATTCGATAAACCTAAACGCGCAAACGAGTGAGTTAATTGTTGAACGGTTAAAAAAAAAACAAAAGAAAGAACAAAAAAATAGTTAAAAGGGAAGAAAGAAAAAAATTGAAAAAGTAAGAGGGAGGGGGGAGGAAGGAAAAAGAAAAAATGAAAGAATTAAATCATACCTGGGTAAATCCGACAAAGATGGGGGCGTTGAGTGTAAATTAAAAGCGATGTGCCTTGAAAAATCTGTTTAAGCTACGCGCTCTGTTCTAGACAGGCTTGCTAATTACAAAGAAAGTTACTGCGAATTTGTGATAAGCGTTTATAACACACCACCTAACGCACAACACAGAGAGAAACAACGCCACGTTACCACCTTTCTTATTTTTTTTTTTGTATTTATTTTCTTTTCTTTTTATTTATCTTTCTTTCTTTCTTTTTTTCTTTCGCGTTTTTAATATTACAACTCGGCCAAGAAAATAGGTGATACCTAAAACATTTTTTTTCTTTCTTTTACTTTTCTTTTCTTTTCCTTTTTTTTCTTATGAACGCGTATCTCGATATAATTTGCAAATTGACCGAACCTTTTATTATACAAATGTTGATTGTGTGTATGACCGATTGCATCTACTTTAAATTCACGAGCCGTCGATAATAACGGGATAACAAGTGTGCCGCGGTAAACCGCAATCAGTTGATTATACTTTAAAAGAGAATCAAAACTTCTTTTACCTGGACTGTACGAAACGCACAAGTGACATCATTGATCAACGTTAAGCGACATCATTAAAAACGACAATTTTGAAATTTCGCGCTATTCGTGAATTTGAAATATTTTATTTAAATCTTTTCCGTCATTTTTCTTTTTCTTTTTTTTTTCTTTTCTTTTTTCGCACGAACGAATATCGCCATAAAGGATGACGACGATCCCTTTGCGCTCGGCTCATTTTTCTTTTTAAGGTTAAGTACAGAACGTTCGAAAAGTTCGAACCTCGTATACGTAACGCATACAACAAAATGGCGTCGGAACTAGGCGCCAATTACGAATATCATTTATAGCATCTCGTACACATAAAGTTTCTCAACATTTTGAACAAACTGTACGCTCTTCTTTGATTACACAAGATGTACATTCCTAGTAAAAAAAATTATCTGAATTATCAAATTTCTTCGAAAGTACATCCGTATACCTTTTTACGTTACACGCTCGAGTTGCTTACGTCGCATTGTTCCTTTGTAACATATACAACACATATATATCTAAAAAGAGGTTAGATGATATTATTTTGTGAAGAAAAAAAATATATATATATATTTAATTTATAAATATATAAAAAAATATATATATATATTCTTTTTATTCTTATGCAAAGTATATATTATATAGTATAATATATTTATATACTACATAGATATATATTTATATAGAGTATATAAATTAAAGTATAAGTATATAAAGAGTATATAAAAAAATATTATTATATTTTTAATTATATTATTTCTTATATATAATATATAAACTAATGTGTTAAGAAAATGATAGAAAATATTACCTGGAGTTTCGTAATTTGTAGCTGCGATCTCCCTTAGCGGAGGTCAAAATATAAACGGGACTTTCCTCAGGTCCGCTGTCCTCTTGTTGCGATTGCGTCTGATGATCGCTACCTGCCAGGCTCCCATATTGAGGTGCATCCTCGCTTCGTCCCGATGCCGAGGACGAGCTCGAGGATAATGGCTTCTTCGTAGACGTACCGATTGGCAGTTGGCCCTCGGCACCATAACCGGCCACCACGCTCGCCGTCCTACGGGACAGCGAAGCTGATTTTTTTCTGCCATTCGCTCGTTTCCTATACCTATGAACGTAACTTCGAACTCTTAACAATCATCCATCGTTTGAAACGATTCGGATTGATTATAAGCCTCACTTATATAACACACATAAAGCGTATCTTTCTTTCTTTTTTTTTCCAAACGACACAACACCATTATGATGATAAAAAAAAAAAAAAAAAAAAAAAAAAAAAAAAAAAAAAAAAAAACGAAATGAAGATCATTCAGTGGATTTATTTAAAAAAATATTATGGAACACGACCAATTATCTTCCTTCCAATCTCCCTCTTTTCTTATTTCTTTTTTATTATTATTGCTATCCTTTTTTTCTTCTACTTTCGGTTTTTTTCTCTTACTCTTTGCCTCTCTCTCTTTCTCTTCTTTTTTTTTTCTTTTTACTATTTAATTATTACACTCGATGTACTTTCTTCAATCGTCGTAAAGGAAGTGCTTTTAACGAGCAACAACACCAATTGCCAATTTACTCCGTCGATAATGGGGGAGAGAGTGGGTGGCGGGGTGGATTAGTGGGGGGAGGGGAGCTATTATTGGTACACGTGCCACCGCAATCGAACGTGAGAATAACGCGCATTCGATGGGCGCGTTTGTAATACGAAGAGAAAGAAAAACCATTATACTCTTTTATATAAATCGATTCTGAGATTAATATTTTTTTTCCACCCTCCTATCTCTTCTTTCTCCTCTTCTTTTTCCTTTTCTTCTTTCCTTTTCCTCTCTTTTTTATTTAAATAAAAACTTTAAATTAGACGCCCGTTTCTTTAGGTTCTTCACAAATATAAAAATTCACTAACTAACCTGACTAACCTAAAAATAGAGAGAGAAAAAAAAAAAAAAAAAAAAGAAAAAAAAAGAAAAAAAAGAAACAACTACGAGAGATAATCGAACTAAATTTAGCCAATATTATCTTCTTCGTTGTTTATCGTTCTTTAATCTCATTTATTCATCCGATATGAGACACCGGCAAACGTTCACGTATTTTAAACCAATTCAAGGACATACTGGGCGGAGCTGTAAGTTCTCGTTACAAAAATCGCGATTAATCTTTTTCGAGACATTATTACATTAATTTAATTTAATTTCTTTTCTTTTCTTTTCCTATTCTTTTTCTTCGCAAAATTACCAGCTTGTAAAACTGCAAGTTTAACTAAAAAGATCTAAAAAAAAAAAAAGAGAAGAAGAAAAAGAGATTGATTTTTCAAAATTGCTTAAAAACTTTTAACCAATCCTGTACGAAGGCATATACGTACGTACGTAATTTGGTCACAGCAAATTACATATACATACATGTTGAAAGTATACGTGTATTGTTGGTTATATAATTATACCTATACACGCTAATATTGTGTTAATCATTAATTACAAGTATATATTCGTTAAACAATTTTTTCAAGGTGTAATTAGTTGAAATGAAAAAAAAAAAAAAAAAAAAAAGAAAAAATTGATAGAATGTTCCACAAAGGGAAATTAAAAATCAACGATTTCTTCTTTGTACTATAAAAAATATTCGACACGTACAAATTATGAAACTCTTTTTTTCTCCTTTTTGCTCCTAACAAATGAGATATTCGATTAGCCTTTAATTTATAATCAAGTTATCTATAAAAACGTATACATACAACGACGAGAATTTGTACGTATTTATTCTTTAAAGAGAGAGAGAGAGAGAGAGAGAGAGAGAGAGAGAGAGAGAGAGAGAGAGAGAGAGAGAGAGAGAAAGGGAGAGAGAGAGAGAGAGAGAGAGAGAGAAAGCAGGTAGTTATTTTTTAGCTGTACTCTGTGTTTTATAATAAAATCTACTATTTAAACGAAACGTAGTAGAGGATATTTTAATCACTATTTGCGATATGTGTCGATAGCGGCGATTCCAATTGGGAAATTCGGAAAATTGCTCAGATATATTATCAGAGTCATGAGAGATGATATCGAAGGTAGGAAAAGAAAGTATAAAAAAAAGAAATAATAATAAAGAAATCAATAAAAATAAAAAGAAGAAAATGGAAAAAAAAAGAACGAAGCAAAGGATGGAAAAAAAAGAGGAAGGAAGAGCAATGAAAGGGGAAGAAAAGATTAAAACAAAGGAAATAAAAAATATGCGAATGCTACGCGAAATATATGTTGTTGGTATACCCTTCTGACCAGAAAGTAGAATGAGAATGAATGAGTCAGTGACTGAGTGGAGTTGAGAGAGAGAGAGAGAGAAAGAAAGAGATGTCGACATTGATTATATTTCTTGCGATGTGACGATCGCGCTAAAAGTTCACTCACGTTCATCAGGGACCTGGAACGGGAATTGATGAAAACTTGTTATCGAAGATTGGAAAAAGCGAAACATAACGAAGCGGGTTCCATAGGTTATATGCGGAATTCGTATTCCTCGAGGAAGAGATTTCGTTTTATTCCGTTCCTTTCCGTTCCGTTCCGTTCCGTCCCGTCCCGTTATGCATATCATTCTCCCCTTATTGAAAAGCGCGCGCATAATTTGAAATATTGAATCGTTATTACATAATTATATATATATATATGTTTGTGATCATCAGATATTTATCGGTAATATTATTTATTTCTTTTTTTTTCCTTTCCCTTTCTTCTCCTTTTTTTCTTTTTCGTTTCTCTTTTATTTTCTTTTTCTTTTTCTTTCCTTTTTCCTCTTTTATTATGAACTATGACATTAGCACACTTACGTATATTTATATATATATTTTCTCAGTTTTATTTCTCATTTTATTCCCCTGAACCATTAATTGAACTTCACATCCGAAGCTTTTCATGTTTAAATATAAATTATGTTTATATATGATATTACTGTAATATGTATATATATATATATATATATATATATATGCACATATACATATATATAGCAATAATATTAATACTAATATTATACTGATACGGTATAATATATTTTTTTATATTGTACAATATTAATAATATAATATTACAATGCTATAATTGACTTATATAGTTTTCTTTATAAAAAGAGAGCAGAAGTTAGGTTATATAAAAATTTTAATTATTATTTGATTATATAAAAATTTGTAAACGTTAAAAAAAAAAAAAGGAAGGAAAAAAGAAAAGAAAACAACATTTAATATTACGTTCGTCCATGAAGTGTTAAGAATGCTTTGCATAAATCTTCAAATGTTTTGAGAATATAAGAAGTGAAAGAGAGAGAGAGAGAGATAAAAGAAACCGCATAGAGAACCGACATTTTGTTCGCTCGGACGAACGCGCGAAATTCGTATCAAAGATTCTTTTGAGAACGGGTAAGCGGAAGAACGAGACAGAAAGAACGTTTCCACGAAAGCGCGTGTCCCGTTTTCCATTGTAATCCTAAAATCCTCGAGTGAAAACAAACGGCATGGCGTGGCGCGGCATGGCAGCGGCTTATCGCCCTACTCCTACAACATATTTTGCATAATCTCGCGGTTATGGTAATCAGGCTTTTCAAGCTATCCGCCTGACCGTAATTATTCGTCAATTTTCTAATTTTTTCTCCGTAATTCCTTTTCCTCCTTCCTACATCTTTTCTCTTTTTTCTTTTCTTTCCTTTTTTTTTTTTTTTAATCATCCTTTTTCGCCTTTATTTATTTATTTATTTATTTTCCTTTTTTCATTGTCTCTCGAAAAAATATATCGCCTGAATTTAATAATTATATTAGATCTAACCTGTGTCTAAATTTAATTATTATAAATTTTCTTATTAATAAATATTATAATATATATATATATTTTCTTTTTTTTTAATATCTAATATCTTGATTATGGATATATCATGTTATGATATGTGAAGAATTAAAAAGAAAAAAAAAGAAAAAAAAGAAGAAGAAAAAAGTTGGAAAAAACAAATTATATTGAGGAACTTTGAAAATTTTTATATACGTAAGTATATATATATATATATATATATATATTTATGTATACACGTATGTGCATGTAACAAAAGGTAAACATATAGATGATATTAAAACGAAGAGAAAAAAATTTCTAGTTTTTTTCTTTCTCTCGAAGGAGGGAGAAAAATAATGTGGAGTTTCTTGCCCGAGGGTAAACGAGAGACCGGCAAAAAGAAAATAATGAAAAGATAAAAGGAAGGAAGATGGTTTAGGAGGAAGGATGCGATTCGAGGAAAAGATGGAAAGGGGTAGAAAAGAAAAGAAGAAAAAACAAAAAAGAAAAAAAAAAGAAACAAAAGGAAGATGAAAAAAAATTGAAGGAGGACGAAGGTAACAGAGGGACGACCTACGTAGAAAAGAAAATAATAAGGGTAGAATTAAATGGAAAATTATGATAGAAAACGAGAAAGAAAGAGTGAGTGAGAGAGAGAGAGAGAGAGAGAGAGAGAGAGAGAGAGAGAGAGAGAGAGAGAGAGAGAGGAATCCAATTTCGAGCGAAACTGTTTTC